AACCTAATTTAGTTAATAGTGGGTGTAATAAATTCATTAAAAAATAGAAAGACAAAAAAATATTTTTAAAAATGTAAACAATAAAAATGTTTTAGTTATTTCTTATTAAACCAAATAGATTAGTGAATATGTGCAATGTATATTCAAATATATTCGCGAATATACACAACCAAACCCAGTAATTACGAGAAACAAAAAATAAAAATTACTCTGAAAATAAACTTTTGCTGTCAATTGGAATTGAAGAAAAATATAATGGTTTTACTAATTTAATAGTGATGCTACCTCTACTTCTTTTTGTGGAACATTTTCCCATTCCTCTAAAGATGCCTTTATTAGGTGGTCAGCGTTACCAGTGTTATTAATCCCACAGGTGCTCAATTGTATTAGGATACATCTAAAATCTAAAACAGTCACACCTTTCATTTCTTGGCAACTCTGCTGGTATGTGGAGGTGCATTTTGCTGCATAAATAAAAAACTTATTACGCTTACTTACACTAAATCCACATACCTTGTACCTATTAGGGTTTGTCTAATGTGTATCAAAGGAGTTTTTTTACCAATCATGATGCCACCCCAAAACATTACACTTCCTCCTTTGTATTTGGGGATAGATCCGGCATGGAGCACTTGGTCAATTCTGGTTTGATTTCATTTTTCATAAAAAACCATTGTTTCATGTAAATACTGGATAAATCCATGTTTGTTCGTGTTTATATAGATACTTGCAATTTTCAAAGTTATAAAAAAATATATCCTTCTATTATTTTTAGGTAAATAATCATGACATATACCACACGCGGTAAATATTTTTTATAAAAATAGCTTAACGTTATCTATGGACCCTTGTTACATATCACTCAACCCAATTGATACTAAATATAAATAAAACTAGAGCAGTGCATTTTTGATCAAATTCAGACAAAAACATGAAATACTGGTCATGGATTGGCGTTGTTTTCCTTATCATTAATAAAGTTGGCGCACAATCTAATTTGGCCGATGTTAAGGTTATACAAAATTTAAAGGAACTGCTTAAGAATGGGAATATAAGTAAGGAATGTGGGGATTTTTTTAATGTTGAAAAAGAAGAGGAAGGACATATTTACGCAATAGAAAAAAGTAAGTTTAACTAAAAACGTTTATAATCTATCATATATCATCGTTTATAAATTTTACAGTTCTTGATGCAAATTCACAGGCATCACCAAAAGGTGTTTTTCAAGGTAACATCTTTGATTTGGGATTTTTCGATGAATGCCTTAGTGTAAAAGGAAATAATTTTGTTGGAAAATATTGCTTAACCAGGAAAAACATTTTACTACCAAAACTTGTAAGTGTAAAAAACAAAATTTACAAAATCTTTTATTTATGATTTAGGAAGAAGACGTTAAACATCAAACGGAAACTGTTTTTAAAAATGGAAGATGTTTACCAAGTTTGTGCAGAAATAAGGATTTCGAAACAATTTTTAAAGATACAGTTGATAAGCAATATTGCTATTCTATAGAGGAAAGGCCCAAGTTAAGCACTTGGGCTATAATAACGTTGTAAGTATTATGTATTAATTAATAAATAAATTTTATTTTTGTTTTTTTGTAGATCAATCATAGGTTTTTTACTAATTCTTGTAATTATTTCAACGATTTTCGAATGGACCCTAATGAAAAGGAATAAAAGTAAGTTTTTAATTTGTTATTTGTTTGATTAAAACTAGACTACTTTACAGAAACAAATTTTCAATTGCTTGTATCATTCTCAGCCATAACCAATATTAAGAACCTTTTTAATTCTAAGAAAAATCAACAATTGAGCTGTTTAAATGGTTTTAAATCCATAAGTATGTTATGGATTATTTTATTTCATGAATGGTTAATTTTAGCTGACTCAGTTATGAACAATTATTTTAACTACCAAAAAGTATATGTGTATTTGAAACAATATGGCAATAATATTAAATATTTTTTTTTTTAGTTTTTGGTCAGAAAATATAATATTTTTTTCTTTAATGCTCCATTAGCTGTGGATACTTTTTTTACTATAGGGGGGCTACTCACAGTGTATACATTTATGAAAAAATATGATATTAATCATAAGTATACCATGGGAAGTATCTTGAAATCATATGTTCACAGATATTTTAGGTAAAAACAGATTTCTAGTTTCTAGCTAGTAGCTTGTAATGCCTAAGAAAAGAAATCTATGATTATGAATCTACGAGAAAAATTTAAATTCTTCCTGCACATTTTAGTTTTTACTATCTATAGATGGTAAAAACTGAAATGTGGAAGGAAAAATTAACCATAATTCCTAGATAATCATTTTTTTCTCACAAGACAGTGGTAAGTTCTACTAAAAAACTAACTAGAAGAACGGAACAACTGGCTAGTTACTGAACATTCTCGGTTTAAAATAACTGGGGGACATGTTTCTGATATCTTATTTTTAAGGATAACTCCGGTTTTTGCCTTGATTATAATAATTCACACTACACTGCTTGAGCACATGACACATGGTCCTATAAGTGGAATGATTCAGGATAATCATAAGCAACCTTGCAAAAAATATTGGTGGTCAGCTTTATTGTACATTCAGAATTATGTAAACCAAGAAACAACACCAGTAAGTAGTACTTATCAAGTACCATAGAAAGAAGTCAACTTCTAAGCGGCTAATTTAGTACCTACATACATAGTTTAAAATAACCTTTTTTAGTGTGTTTTTCAAAGTTGGTACCTGTCAGTCGATATGCAGTTATTTTGGTTGTCACCTTTGATATTGGTACCGCTTAAACATTACGCAAAAGCCGCGATTGGTGTTATAGTTGGGCTTATTTTTTTGGGATTTGGAACAGCCTTTTATGTCACATATCATTTTGAGTTGCCCTATGAACTCCATGTAAATGAGTAAGTTAAAAATATTAGTCTAATTTTGGAAGTTAAGTTTTTTTTAGCCCCAGCTTTTTGGATTATACCTATAAGTATTATATGAGTACACATACTAGATTTCAGCCATACCTAATAGGAATGCTATGTGGTTATTTTATATACCGAAAAAACGCTAAACAAATCAAATGGGTAAACATAAATACATACTCATTTAAAAACGCTGAGTTAAATATATTTATATTTAAAAAAATATGTAAGGCATGATAATGTATAATATTTTTAATTTAAATATCTTTAACACGCCATTTTTAAACAAAAAATCCAGGTACTTTTTAGACAGAATGTATGTATAATAGGATTAACATTTTCAGATGCAAAAACTGACACTCATATGTGTAAGCCTATTTATTATATTTTTTTGCATTTGCTTCTCCATTGTTTTTTTGGATAAACCAAAGGATGTGCTGGCAAACTCATTTTATAATGCTTTAATAAGAACAATATTTTCTATGGGTATATCGTTGTTAATTATTTTATGCGTTACTGGAAATGCACGTAAGAAAATAATATTTTAAAAACTGTAATTTTGTACATTTTTTATTTTGTTTTAGGCATAATAAATGGCTTCTTATCATTGCCAATATTTGGCTTTTTTTCAAAGTTATCGTTTTGTATGTATTTAGTTCATGTTGGAGTTATAGTAGTACGAGTTTATTCCATAACAACAGCTATTGAGTTTACGGAGTTTCAAATTGTAAGAATAATATTTATTTAAAATATAGGTCATTTTCTTGTTATTATTTTAGGTGTATTCCTTTATTGGAGATACCGTAATTACTATTGTTTTGGCGTTTTTTCTTTACATATCGTTGGAAGTTCCCTTTATTTCAATTGAAAATTACATATTTAAAAAAGGGATAACATGTTCAAACAAAACAAAAACCAATAATTCAAGTATAAATTTAAATAAATAATTTGTTTATTACCTTTACTTGTTTAACAATTGTTTTATTATTCCATGTCGCAGTTAATTACATGTTTATTTACATACCTATTGATAATAATTAAAATTTAGGTTATTTGATTAGTAAAAGCGGCGTAACTATCATCAATAAATATTATTGAAATAGAATATATGACGTAGTTGCAATGTAAAAAAATATCTACTTACGAGAGTTTAACCCATTATTTAAAAAGCAATAATTTTTGAATGAAAAATCAAACCCTCTCCTCTATAGAGGATGGACCCTATTAAAAATGCCCTATAGAACCCATATTGATCCAGATAAGGAAACTAATATGGATTTATATGGTTGTATATGTCCTATATGGAACGACCTGGTTTACACTTTGGAATCTATATGGTTTAATATGGAATTTAATTTTAAAATGTACAACTTAGGGATTTTTATATGGATTTATCTGGTTTCTGTTTTATGTGTCTTTCCATATAGGTTTCCCTATATGGTTGAATATGGAATTCCATTTTAAAATGTATATATATTTAAACGAAAATTGCATATTAAACCATATAGATTCCCCTATATGGTTAAATATGGATCTATATGGTAATCATTTTTTCACACCCAAACCATATTGGGCCAGATAGAGCAATATGAACCTATATGGCAAACCATGGTATGAAATTCTATCTGGTGCAATAGTGCAATGCCTGTTTCAAATTCTTATATTGAACCAGATAGATTTTTATTTTGTGTTTCTATATGGCATTTTTAATAGGGGATATATATATATAATATATTATATATGTTATAACAATGAATATAATACACAATTCAATTTAAGTTTTTACATTTTACACATTTACAGATTTTACAGGACAGCATAAAAACCACCTTATTTCATTCAAATCGTTTAGTTGGACGAAACTTCTTTTTAAAAATGGCCTTACGAGCTTTTGATACTATACTAAAGAAATAAGTAAACTATATATAGGTATCAGTCTGCTTAGCTAGAAAGTGCTTCTTAACCAATTTTATTAAGAAATATCTTTTTTTATTTCTTATATATCAGGCTTTAACATTCAATAAAAAAAAACAGAAAACAAAATTGGAAGTAATTTACAGTATTACTTACAATGATTTTTGTGTAAAATTTCTAAAAATGAAGCTACACCGGCAAAAAAGGGCTTACAACGTCGACCACTAATAATATTAATACAAATTAAACATAAGTAAAATAAATACAACAAACTAAAACAGACGGGTAAAAAATAATTTTATAAAAATTTTGTATTTATTCATTTTTTTCTACCGAGTTATTATTTAATTTTTCCATTTTATGAGTATGCTTCTTCTTGTAGGCTTTTTTATAGAAATCTCTAAAAAGGAAATAGAACATGATGGCTTGTAGACCCACAACTGTCATAATACCGCGAGGGTAGTCACATTCAATAAAAGCCAGCTGACCGGTATGAATTCCAAGAGCTACAAATTGAGCCTAAAACAAAAAAATAATATGATGGTACTAACATCTAAGATAATAATAATAATAATTCCAATTTGTACGCACCATTTGTAATACAGTTATATATTTTTTCCACCAAAGATATTTTTGTATCGATGGTCCAAAGGCGCTTAACATATAGTAGCCATACATTATAATATGAATAAATGAATTAATTAATGGGAAAAATGTACCGTGGCCCACTAAAACAAAAAAATACATTTTAAATTTTTGCACGATAATAAGGTTACTTAATTAATTAATAAAATTCAATATACCTAATCTAATAAAAAAAAATTAAGAAAAAGGAAAAAAATCTTCGATTTCCAAATGTCTTTTAATACAAAATTGTTTTTATTGTTTTCTCTGTTTGAAGCTGAATATACTAAAATATCTTTTTTACAGTAACTAGATATTTTTTTTAAGTCCATAATCAGTCAGAGTTTTTCTTTAATCCTAGCTTGTTGAAGAAGTTATTAAAAATGACTGTATATATTAAAACACGCCAACTGTTTTGTGAAAAACAAAGGGTCACTTCTGGTGTACCACAAGGGTGCCCCATTTTTTTAGAGAAAAACTAACTAAAATAAGGGAAAAACTGGCTAATTAAATTCTACCAAAACTATTTTTATTTGTATAAGCACTAATTATTAATATTAAAAAATTATATTTAAAATAACTTACTAGGTGTGTATTTGATTCCAAGCCAAACCGACATCGGGACACTGGTATGATGAATAATATGGAGTGTAGTGATTTGATTATACTTTTTTCGTGCCACGAAGAATACCTAAAAAGTATGAAATATTATCATTTAATATAAATTATAATTATTAATTATAGTATACTTACTGTATCGAGAAGTTCAATAAATTTAGAGACCAAAAAGTACCACAGGACATTTACCATCTAAAAAAAAATTTAATAAACTTAATTTTATGTTTTTTTTAATTACCCTCAGATTTTTAGGTTTATATAAATAATCCATAGGTTCGCATATAAAACTGTATTCTCCTGTAAGCCATCCACTCATTCCAATCTAAAAAAATATTTAATGGTTTTTTGATTTATATAAAAAATTCTTAAAATTTAATTTAAATAAAAAGGTACTGATAATAAATTATTTATTTTAACTAATAAAGAAATTTACTTGCCTCATAAAACAACCAAGAGTTGAATAACACTAGAAATGCATTGTAAACGGTCAAAGTGTGTTTTAATTCGAAGGGGTTCCTATTTTTCATAAATGCAGGCCCCAAAACCTAAATAAAATTTGGTAAACACAAGGGTAAAAATCGTATAAATTTATTATAAAAACTTACCTTTACAAACAATAAATAAACTAAGCATATTGTAACAGTGTATACAGGGCTAGATAACAATATCCAATCTGCAACTCGTGGATCTAAAAAATAAATAAATGTTAGCTTTGTTCCAGCAAGAGTCAACATATTTCTGTGGTTTCTTATGTCATTAACTATATACTATACTTAATGACATAAGTGACTTTTGATTCCAGTCTATAGTTACTATTAGTTTTCAGTATAGTAACTACCTTGGTTTTCATTGAAATACGAGTTAATTATTTGAAATGTCTTAGCTATCAAAGCCATTGTGTAAAAACTACAATGTGCTATTGCTAACTTTGGATAATATTAACTAAGTTCTCCATTTATATTGTTTTCCTATTTAAGGACGTACCTTTTATAAATAGTATTCTATTTTTATAAAAAATAAAATAATCATTTATTAGCATAAGCTATTTACATTACACAAATTGCATATAAAAAATTAACAAAGTCAAAACATCACATTAAAAAATTAACATAATCAATTATAAGTTTCTCAAATATTTTAATTTTATCACAGTTTTTTTAATTTGAAAGCAGTGGAGTGCAAGGTAGGCTAGTAAGTCAAAATTTAATATAACTATAACTTCCATGGAAGTATATATTCTAGGTCCAATTGAAATACATATTAGTAACTTCATAGCCACTTAAGTAGCGAAATTTTGATCACTATTTGTTTTTTATTGCATGCTTTATTTAAAAAGCTACAAGGTCGATAAAATAACATAAAAATTACGAGATACCAAGCATATTAATATGAAATTTATAAATTGGGAAAAAACTAAAAACTTTCAAAACCAAAAGAATTTCGAAACAAAGTTATTCACGTGAACATACACATTAATTAACATTTTTATACAATTTTGTCAGTATATTTTGAGTTGGCTACCATGTCCATCTTTTGTTTTTGTAATGCCCACCATTACTTACGTATCATTGAATTCCTTGATTATTTTTCTATCTGATTATAAAATTAATATAAAATCTAATATAAAATTTTAAAAAGGCGGCCATAGGAAAAACAAAAGATCCAATAGGCGAAAAAAACAAAAAAATTAATAAAAATGCAGATAAATTTGTATATTTACAGGTTAAACTTAGTTTAGAACTGCAGGTTTTTTATCCAATTTTTTAATTGCATTTTAATAGACTTGTAATTACGCAATTTTGTCTAATTTAACCTCTTCAAATAAAAAAGATAGGATAGGAATTTGGATTTTATATAGATATAATAAAACCTTAAAAATATTAAATAAATTGTTATTATACAGGGTGAGTCTTTTAACTTAAAACTTTGAAATATATCAGTAAATGGGCATTTTACGAAAAAAAAATTTGGTATAAAAATTACATAATTCTAGGGGGGAAATAAATAAGTTTATAAGTTTAAAATTTATAATAAATAATGTGCAATAAAAAATAGGTTGTCCCATTGAAAATTTTAGAGTTACCCTATGCCCTTCCTATACAGGGTGTCCCAAAATTAGTGCACCATACTTTAACAGCAGATTCTACATGCATAAATAAGAAAAAAGTCCCTATAAATATAGGTCGAGAAATGCCTCCTAAGGGAGCTACAGCCCCCGAAAAGGGAGCCCCTGAAGATGGTTTTTATCTAATATAAATAAAAAAGTAGAAACACCCTGTCACTTACTACATGAAACTGTCACCTGTCTTGAATTATTCTATTTTTTCCTAAACATGGCAGCCGTATTCCAAGGACCACGCGAATCCATTTCTATGGTTTTGATTTAATTGTGAATTTTTATGCCATGTAAAATAATTTTCAAATCGATTTTATGCGAAAACGGTGTATGTTATCGAAGTTCAACAAAATGACCTTTTTTATGTGCAAAACTCTAAAATTTCATAATATGACACCAAATTCTGGTACAAGATACGTACAAAAAAGTTAAGGTGGTTTTAACCCTACTTCCTATCAATCTGACCCAAACCTCATAAAATTTTTTAAATTATTATTGTACGTCTTATTGGTCATAAAAAGTTTAACTAATTCCCCAAATTTCACTTTTATATCTTTAACGGTTTTGGAGATATTAAATAAAAACCATCTTCAGGGGCTTTCCTTTTGGGGGCTGTAGCTCCCTTAAGAAGCATTTCTCGACCTATGTTTATAGAGACTTTTTTTCTTATTTTTGCAAGAAGAATCTGCTGTTAAAGTATGGTGCACTAATTTTAGGACACCCTGTATATAAGGTTGAGAATAGAGAGAATAATTTTGGTACTAATTTATTTCCCCCCTCGAATCATTTAATTTTTATTTTAAACATATTTTCGTAAAATGCCTAGGAGTTAAAATTCTTACCCTGTATGTAGCTGTTAGAGTAATAAAAATGGGTAAATTTAAAACATTCTTTAAAAATATATTAGTAAAAATTGTTTGTGTGTTGTTTTCTAAGGTTTGCATTAACAAAAACTTTGTTTTGTCTGTACCCTAACATAATTGTAATAATAAAAATCGTTAATAGTATTGTAATTATGGACATTTTGTACTAATACACTTTATACTCAACAAACTTAATATACCAATCATTATCTTGATTGGAGCATACCCAGCATAACATAGCGTTATCGTTATCCATTAATATGGATATCTTGAATTTAATACCATCCTGTTTGTTAAGCGTTGGAATCGAGTCTTCTAGTAACAACTTTACGTCGAGAGTAGCAGTATATTACTAATAAGTAGACTTAAGTAGACTAAACTTAAGTCTAGTCAACAAATTTTGTATTTTTTTTATAATTCAAACTTATAAATAATTTAGTGTTTGATAAAGTTAATGGTTTTACAAAGTTCCATTTATTCCATCAAACCTAACATACATACATTGTAAACTAATGCATTCTATTATTGTTTACTTTTTGTCCGCAAACACAAGTTTAACATATAATTTATTTAAAAAAAGGATTTTAATAAAAGTTCTTTTAATAGTTTATTTCAAATTTTGCGGTGACATTACCAACTTAAAAAAATAAATACGTAGCCCCCAAATGGGGCCAACTTTTTTTTTAATAGTAACCCCCCATTTTTACGACAGAATAGATATATTTGAGCAAAATGGCCTAGAATTCGAAAAAACATTTATAATGCATAAAAACAAGAATATGATTAACCAAAGTACTAAAAGTAAGTGTTCAAAATGTTTGCCGTCAACGACAAGACAGTGGCCTAACCTTTTTTTAAATTCTTGTTTTACATTTTGCAGCCAAACGTCTTAAACATTATGATTTTTTTAAACTATACTTTCTCTGAGAACCTGAAGATTGCCCGGCCTATTTTTGTACACCACTGACTTCAAATGACCCCATAAAAAAATCCAATGGTGTTCGGTCTGGAGACCTAGCAGGCCACTCTATTGGCCCTCGTCTACCAATCCACCCGTTCTGAAATAGCTGGGATAAGTATCTCCTTACTGCCTAACCAAAATTTGGTGGAGTACTTTCTTGCTGGAACCAAATGGTGTCGTCTACTTCATTATTTTTCCCAGGGTACAATGCTGGAACGATATCTGTCTGGAGGAGGCTCAAATATTGTTCTGCAGTTAGATTGCCCTCAATAAAAAATGGTCCTATTATGTGTTGGTCAATTATTCCTGCCCATACATTTTTCTTTTGAGGGTGCTGAGTGTGTGTCTCCCCTTTCCAATGCGGGTTTTGGTGGGACCAGTAGCGGTGGTTATGACCGTTCAGCCTGAATGTGGCCTCATCCGAAAATATTTTTTTTTGAGAAATTTAGATCCTGATTACAACGCTGTGGGTGATAGGCATAAGGGGATAAGTCAAAAAAAGCAATTTTTCGGTAGAGACTTAAACGTGTTCGCATTAATTCAGGAAATATATTTATGGTCAGCGAGTATACCCTTTTGCTAGCATATGACATGTGCTGGCAAAAGGATATACCCGCTAACCATAAATGTATTTCCTAAATTAATGCGAACACGTTTAAGGCACTACTAAAAAATTGATTGTTTTGACTTATCCCCTTATGCCTTTTACCCACAGAACGTCCCATCAAATTTTCACAAAACTCAGCCGTACGATCAAAATCGTTCTCTGATAACGTTGTCTCGGGCAACCCCCCGACAAAAAACTGTAGGTACTTCCTGGACTTGCAACGTTCAGGGTAACATCTCCAGCAGTGGCAGATTTTGGTCGACCGCTTCCAGACCTATTTTTCACAATTCTGGTTTCAGAATTTTTTTACAACTTTGCTTACTGGTAAACGTCCGTTTACATGGGGGGTATACCCGGTAATGCTTCTTGATACAATCTTCGAGCTTCGCGACTATTACCATAGGCCTTACTGTACTTACTGTCAACATCTGCCTCTTAAAATTTATTTAAAAATATGTCTATATTTAGAATTTACTACCTGCTCGTATTGAATTAATTATTTTGGGTATATTACATATTTAACTGTATTTTTATTAAATCGTTAGTTTTTTGATATATTTTTGTATAGTTTTATAAACATTTATTCTATGAAAAAACTATTAATAACAACTTTTTAGGCTATAAATAATATTATCAAGTTGTAGTTTTTTAAAACTTACTTTACATTTTTTAGAACTAGCAATGATTCAATACACTATTCTACATCAAAGGAGTAAAAACCACATTTTATTATTTGTTGCACTTTTATGTGTTAAAATTAAAAACATATAATTAAAATTTTTATATTTGGTTTATTTTTAAATTAAATATACTAGGATTTATCAAAAAATGTTTAATATAATTATGTAAAACTTAACATACCTATAAAACTATAGCACCTACATATAAAAACTATAAAACATATAAACATAAATAGGTATATAATATACCTATTTATGTTTTATATAAATAGTTTTATATAAAACTATAAAATATATATTATATATTTCTTCATATTTATTTATTGCTCTTTTATCATGTGTAGATTAATGTGTATTTTTATTTGTGTTTATTTTTATTAAAATATTATTTAATTATTAGACTTATACAAAAAAATCGAATATTTATTTTTAAAGTACCTCAAAAATATTGTTCAGAATCTCAAAAAAATGGTCCTGTTAAAATGTAAGCTCTTAATATTACATTTACAGGTCCCTCATCGGGAATTTTTATTTCCCATTAAAATAATATGAGATTTTTTAAAATACTTTAAAATTGTATAACTCTTTAACGGATTAGTGGACCAATAAAACTAAAACAAATTTTGGTAGAGCTTTTTTAAAAGGTATTCAAGGTAAAAGTTGAATTTATAGAAAATTTCAAGATTTTAAAACTTTTTCAGCGAAACAAAATTTATGGTAAAATTTAGTAGGACCCTTTTTTAGGAAAATATTAACTAAAACCATGAACAAAAAAAGCGGCCTTTTTATTTAAAAAGAAATGGTAAATAATTACATTAATAATTATAGTTAGAGCATAGTATTCCAAAAGGGTTTAAACCCAATTTGGTCAAATATTATATTATCATTTAAAAAAAGTCTATGTGCGACTAAAAAAATATTTTCCATATTATTTTTGTATTTTAAAGATGAATGGATTTTCATAAATTTCTCACAATTTTGTGTAATACTATGTTTTTTCTACTCCAATTAATTAATTATTATTGATAATAAAATTTATTATAACCTCACTTTTCTCCGATTATCATAGTCGCCCCTCGTATACCTATATACATAAATATATCTGACATCTGTCAACCTTACTTTTTTTCTAATTTAAAACCCGATTGGTTCAAATAACAGTTAATATTGAAATAAGCCAATCACTGATGCCTAACAATGTGAATAATGAGTTCATTATTCACGTTGATAGGCCGGACGGATATATTGGTTACCATTATTTACGAGAAAAAAAACAAAAAATTTCAATAATATGCAATAGAAGTAGAAAAACGTATTAATAATATTATTATTATTAATAATTTCTTTTTATAAGCACAAAAAGTTTAAAATTTTAATGGCTTTAATTTACATAGTAAGAATAAATATTTTAATTTAAATTGCCCAGGTAACAAAAAATCACATAAAAAGGTAAATACATTAAAGAGGGTTATTAACAATTTTATTTGCAAAATTATTCAAAAGTTTATAATTATTTTAGTATTAAATGTATATATTTCATTTAAATATACTATTTTATTAATAACAACTTATTAAATAATATATAATTTATTTAATAAGTTATAGAACATACATAATATGTTATATATATATATATTATATTATATTTAAATTATTTCAGAATCAATGTTATTCCTTAAATAATTAATTATTGCATAAAAGCTTAAAAGTCAAATAAAATGTGCGTAGAAAGAATGGTTAATAGCAGGTAGGTAGAATTATTGAGTTTAAAAATAGATATGTTAATTTTATTAGCAAAACCCGAATGCCTCCGAACAATTACAATGGAGCATTCAAATGGACATTACTTTTTTCCGTAACTGTACATAAAATGCATGTTGGCCATTTCTTGGAAAGTGTAATTTACCATTTTTGCTAAAAATTACAGTATGTTCTGATTTATGTTATGACAAACAATTAGACAAATGTTACCACTAGATATAGGATTTTAGGTTTCAAAATTTATAAAAATAGGTCCCTAAAAAGGTAAACTTTCTTTTGTTTTAGGTGAGAAAATTCTTAAATTAGGTACGTTTAGGTGATAAAATTATTTAATTTATTGTATAAAAATTGTATAAAATTTTATTAGACAGGATTTTAATGATTTGAAAATAACTTACGAATATATCTTGTAAAAATATCAAAATACCATTATAAATTTTATAATTTTTTAAGGCATCGGTAAAAAATGTTTTTGTAAATAAGCATACAATTTCTGACTTAAAAATTCAAATTTATTATAATACCTATAAATGTTTAAAAAAATACTTTCTGATGAAAAAGTAAAGTTTTGTAAAAATGCAACACATGAATCTCACATTCGCGTCACTCACGTCACTCGCATCATTCGAGTCACTGTTCAAGATTACCAGTACCAACCACTATGTTGGTCTATGTGGGTTGGATGGTATACCAACCCACATTAACAACATTTCGTCCAAATACGACAACACCAATTTTACAAAAAAGCATGTTTTTGATGGTACAATTTAAAATTTTCATTTCTATTAAAAATAAAAATTTAGGTAAAATAGGTAAAATCACACTATTTTACTCTCTAAAAATGAATAATTTAATAGTTATATTTAACATGTCTCATGTTTAAAAAAGGGATACAATGGTATCCCAAAATTTAACAACTAATTCTTATGGAAAATCTTCTGAATCCGAAAAAGTCGTCAGAAGTTAAAAAAGTAGAACAGTTTTTGAGATATAGTAAATTTTCCATTTAATATGGAATTGACTATATCTCAAAAACCGCTTTTATAATTTTTGACGGTATTTTCGGATTCAGGGGACAATTTTACATAAGAATGGTATTCCATGGTTAACCATGGTACAAGTGAAAAAGCAGCCAGTAATAACTATTAAATTAGTAATTTTTGACTAATTCATTTTTAGAAAGTAGATTAGGTCCATTTCTCTTAAAAATTATAATTTAGGTAAAATTGGAAAAATAGGTAAAATACGTAAAAAAAATCAGGGGCAAATGAAATTTTTTTTTAACGGATTTTATTCCATTGCACCAAAAGTTATGATTAGCGTAGACAAATAAGTAGTAAAATCCCATCTCTAGTTACCACTAACAAAATAACGATATTTGCTTGACATTTTTTTTCGAAAACGGTTGACTCCATGACTTTGTAACAAGGGCACCTTCTTAAAATTATCTGAAGAATTATCCAAGAGCATTGGGGTTTATATTTAATTTTGTTGAAGTTTTTTAACTGTTTAATTTGTTTTTATAATTCCCAGCACATTATAACATGCTATAGGGCCTTTCCATCTTAAATCAACCCGTATTTTTCTTTTTGCTTTAATTGGTTTTGTTCACCCGTAGGAAAGTTTTAAAAAATGGACAGAAACATCGATTTTTTTTCTTTTTACAAGTGACATTTTTTCTTGAAAATGCGATAACTTGGCCAAAAATGTTGCGATCGTTACAATTTTTTTTAAATTGTGGGTAAATGATTACCTAATACAAAAATATATAAAAAATTAATTGAATTCACTCAATTTTTTTTAAATAAATTTTTGGCTAAATTCGTCGTTTCGGAATTATTATTTTTTTAATAAAAATTACATTCTTTCTATGAGTGGATAAAATATCAAATTTTTGCGATGAACCACAAATTTACTAGGAAATGGCATTTTTATTAAAAAAATTATAACTTTTGGTAAAAGTCGTTCATATTATCAACTTCAAAAGTTTGACCTCATTTTTTTTGCCAATTTAATAAAATATTGAGGAAATTTCGGGAAATTTACTTAATTTTTATATTTTCTTTGTATGTAGTAAACATTTACCTACAATTTAAAAAAAAGTGTAACTATAACATTTTTGTCTAACAAATTTAAGCAAAAAGAAAAAATACGGGTCTCATCGATTTCGGTAGAGAAACTGTAAAAAAATTGGTTGTCTGGTAGATTTGAGAGATTTGTGAGATTTGAGATAAAAATACCCTATATTACTTTTACAGCCTTCTTAGAAATAATTAAATTGCATATTGGTTTATGCAACAGATTCTGTTACAAATAAAAAAACGAATAAACAAATGTTAATTTGTCCAGTATTTTACTTAAAAATATATCATGTTATAAAATTAAGTAGTTAGCTTTATTAAAAAAACCAAATAAATACAACAAGGTACACAAAAAGAAATCAAAATACTAAAAATCAGTCCACATCATCGGAAACCGTGTCCACATCGATATGAAAATCGTCTTGCGTCGAATCGGCCGGTATTTCCCCCAACTTTCCGCTCTCCTTCGTGTGCCTCCATTTCATCCTCCTGTTTTGAAACCAGACTTTTACCTGTGCATCCGTCAGGCCCAAAGTTGCCGCAAGTTGCCGTCTGTCGGGCTTCGTTATGTATTTTTGCAGCTGAAATCTTCGTTCGAGGCCCTTTCGTTGCAAATTGCTGAATACGGCCCTGGACCACGAGCGTTTTCTTTTGTTGTGGGTGTTTGATGACATTCCGGGAGGGGATGATGAGGTAGGGGGCACTGGTATCCTCATATCTAAAAAATAAATATATTAAATAATAATTAATATTGGTGGCTCGTGGGTCTACAGGAGGGTGAGCCTACATGAGGTTATTTTTGACTAAATACGAATAATTAGGTATTATTCCACAACGCGTTGACCTTGTTTAAAATGTCCGATAGCCCTACTAAACCATTATAATAAAAACAATAAACTAAAAAAAAACGTAACTCAAAAACATAAATTCGTTTTTAAAACTTTAAAATATCTGGAAAATAATATATTATGTATCAAGTTTGATAAACGCCATTTTAGACACGAATAATGAGTGTCTAGAAAAGTTTATAAACAAGGAGCATACTAGGGTGATTCATTTCCGCAAAGTTTTTGTTTTCTTCGGTGCTCAAGCAAAATATTAATCTGCATATAGAAAAAAAAATTCTCAACAAGTTTGAGCTCTTAATATAAATTTTAAGTACTTACTATTTAAGTTTAAAGTTTTACCGTTTAAAATGCATGTAAAAAATATATTTTTTTTTTCAAATTTCTAATGCTTACCCACCTTTGACAATATTGCAAATCGGTTTAATACACCATATGGGGAATTTCACGCTCTTTAAAATTGCTTTTGAGTTTTTTTTTGTAACTCGCATTGGTTCACCAGTAGGAGTCGTCATAGGACAGTTTTTGAAAAAAATCGTTTTTTTTTAAATTTTTTCTAACAAACCGCAAAAAGTAGGGAGAAAAAAGGGCTGAATCATAAAAAAAAGTTATCCAACCAATATTTAATGAATTTACAGCCATTTTTATAACTGAAAACGTAAGAAATTGATAATTACCAACTCATAATGTTATTTAGATTGATTTTTTCTATATATTATCATTATATTTCCCTACACTAAGAAGTTTTTTAAAATTATTGATTTCTCACTTATAATGAATATGAAAACAACAGATAAATTCATAAAAAAACAATAAGAAAATTGTAACGTGGATTTTGCAATTTTTCAACATTTCTGTCATATAGCAAAAAAATATAAATGAAGATTATTTAATTTTTTGAAGCGAAATTTGAAATATGTTACATAACCTTCTGTATATTCCGATTAAAGTTTTGTTGCTTTTTTATGAATTTATGTGTTGTTTTCATATTCATTATGAGTAAGAAATCATAATAATTTTAAAAAAGTTCTTAGTTCGCAGTCCAGATAAAAAAAAATAACTTTAGATAAAGTAAAAGTGGAAGTTAAGTGTATACAGAAAATCATCGGGATGGTAAACCAAACTGTAACCGTCTGTTATAGATCAAGTGAGCAACATGTGAATATACAAACAGATTCGATCCTCTTGCGCTTGATTTTTATCACTTGTTTATTAGATTTATGGCAGCCAACAAAAATATACACGCTGAAAACATTATTAGATTCATTATAAACATAATTCTGTTTAAATATCGACTTCCTGATGAGCATCGTGTTTATGTTATTTTGGAATTTTTCGAATTTAATTTGTGAGATTATCCCGTGGTGTGGGTTGTAGTTTATGCACACATAATATGTACTATTTAAAAACTGTGTTATGGTAATTTGTGTCAATACCTCATTACTTTGTTTGAAATATTGTAAAAATGTTATTATTATTATTATTATTATGTCGACACAAAAACTTTCCTTATTAATGAATAAAATCATATCTTTATTCCAAGAAAAAATATAAAATCTCCTCATAAAAAGATACTTTTTATCACAACATATTTTATTAATAATACTAAAACAATTTTATGATTAAAGCACATATTATCCGAAAATAAATACAAGACCATAAATTAATTTAAGTGTAAGTTTTGAACGTAAAGCAATTAAAATCGAGTATTCGAACAAGACAGCACACGTGACAATAAAAAGTTTAATTAGTCATTAGTGAGTGGAGGCAATAAAATCGAAAATAAAAATGATCGTAACGGTTTTAAAATATACACGCCTAAACCGAGATGATGAGTTCCAAATTTTATACGTTATTTTCGAAAAATAAACATACTGGAGGCTGTATTATCGTGTAAACACTTTTCAGTGCCCTGTTTACACTATAATAAACTCAAGTATTTCAGTCTGTATGTATGTATACACCATCTGGGTAGTCATTAAGAATTTTTTGTTTTAAACGTGAAAAGATTAGCAAAATGTTATCATATTTAAAAAGCAGAAGCAGTTGATGAATGATTTAGTAACGTAAAACGGGGTGAATACGAAGTAATAAATATTTTTAATCCATTTTATTCACTTTTAAGTTTTCAAGACGTAGTTTTTATAAATAAACCCAACAACAATGCAATATTCTGTGTACCAAATTTCAGCTTCAACAATTTTAGATCCGCCACTGATATCACATCAGTGGCGGATCTATAGAATTGTTAGAGCCCGGGGCTAAAAGGAGATTTGCCGCCCCTGTTGAATGACCGTAAAGTTACTTTATATGCAGAAAAGTGTGTAATATTTTAAAAATTTATTTTCTCTGGCTTTTGTTTTCGACAATTTAGCAAATATGTAAGGAAAGTATACACTTATAAAAGGAAAGTATACACTGATAAAAATTATTGTAAAATTACATATTTTTTTACATATAGGTATTTATACGTTTTTTTACCTAAGTAGCTACATATACAAATTTGTAAATTTAAGAAAAATAATGTGTTTTTAAATTTTTTCTATAATTATAATTATGCAGTTAATTTTTGTAATAATAAAATTATTTCAAGCATAAATATGTAAAAATAAATATAAAATGTTAATTTACATTAAAACTTTTTGGCTAACCAATAAAATCACCGGGCGTCTGTTTAGGGATTCCGTTTTTTTTTGTTCTTTTTGTCCGCGTGCGACAAAATGTCTTATGACATGAGTTCTTTATGCTTTTTTATCTATTTTGCAAAAATTCTATAAAAAAATTAATTTTATACCTTAAATTTAATTTGGTCGAATTTTACTTTAGATAGTTGGTATCACAGTCATTGGTTTGACAGTTAATGTCAAAATCGATTCCCCATGCCGTCCTTAATTTACTTATTTACAACAAGCGGCTGTTAATGCTAAAGAAGAAAAACAAGGATTTTCTTTGGTGTTAAACGAAATTTATTGCCAAAAAAGTCTAGAAAAATCATAAAAAAATTGTAACCAATATACAAAATATTATGATGTTTAAAGTATAGCCAACCTATAGGTTGGTTTATATATAAAAACAAAATTTTGGGTGGGATAAAGTATCTCATTATAATGCTGTGCTGTATACAGCACCGAAAGCAGTATTATAATGAAGTCATTATGAACGCGAAATAGATAATAGTATATTATGTATCAAGTTGATAAACGCCATTTTATACACGAATTTAATTTAGTCACGAGCGAGCTTGCGAGCGAGTACTTAACTTAATGAGTGTATAGAAAAGTTTATAAACGAGGTGCATACTATACTTTTTCTACGACAAATACTTATTATTATCTTAAAATGATTTAAATCAAAAATTTGTATAGAGCGCCATCTACGAAACAACAGGGGAAACTGTCAAATGTCACATTTTTACATTTTATAAACACAATTATAAAGGTTATACTTAAATCGAAATGTATCTTGAAAATTGACAGTTTTTCACAGTGAAAGTAAAGGAAATGTTTTATGAGGACTTTACAGTATATAGAGACGAATTTAAGTTATAGTTAATGCCGGCGAAATTAAAAGGTCAGTACAATGTTCATATAAACTTTTCAAATATTGGCGTTATAATATAATATAATATATTTAATATTTTTGTATTTTTGTATTGAGATAATAAAATAATTTCCACATGTAGTATTTTTTTTCAAGAAAGGCACTTTATTTTAACGATTGTATGACATTTGACAACTGTCAACTAACTTAAAACTAACTTGAGCCCGTGACTAAAAACCTGTTGCTAACCTCAGCCCGTGACTAAAGCGCCGTAAAGCCACAACTTGTCAATGTGTATTTAAAAGGTCACTTAGTGTCATGGAAACATGTACGATTAAGGGCGTTTTAAAGGTGGGAGTAGAAAAAATAAATAAACGTTTTCGTTTTTTTTAATTTCAGAAAATCTGCTTAATACAGAGGTAATACTTCGAATTTTTTATCACAGATCAAAATATGAGTTGATCGGTTTCACTGAAATATGTTTTAATGGACAGTTTTCTGAGTCTTGCAGTCTATTGTTTTTAACGTTGCCTGTAGTTCGGCTAGTGCTGAACGAGGGATGAGTTTTATGAAAATCGTGAAACAATATCGTCGAACTTTAGCTGAAGACGCCGTTAACGATTATTTTATTCTGTGACTTAAATTAATATTTCTGTATTTAATAAAAAACACAATTGTCAAAATATTTAAGCGTGTGTTTTTACTTGTACCTATTTATAAGTTGTTTTAAGTTCAAATAAAATTTAAATTACCGAAACATTAACATTAATTACTTAATAATCTCCAAGTGAAAAGTAAACGTTGGAAAACGGATTGTTTATAATTGAAAACGTTAGAAACATAAACAATTAAGAGCAGGAATTCATCTAATTAAACGTTTATAGACGCATCGCTTAAATAACCCTATTTATTTGTCTTGGTTTACATTTATTCGGAAACCCACAAATAAATCATTAAAATCGTTTATTTTTACTCTTAATAATATCATCAAAGAGATTGGCTTCGAAATGTTTTCTATCACGAATTTCTTTCTTTCTGATTAATGCTTGTTTTATAATTTGAAAACTATGTAGAATGTTTTTTCAATAAATCTTTGGATTTATAGTCTTATTATTATCGAGATCATTAATTTATTAGATGTTTAAAATTTTACATTGTTGAATATATTTTATAAAAGTACAGATAATTATAATAATTGATAGGTTTGGACTAGACAAGAGAAATCTTTTTTTCCCCGTCCACACCTTTCATTTATTAAAATCATCCCTACTTTTATAAAATATATCTTGAGTTTTTTTTTATTTAATGTAAAGCCTAATAAAAGAAGAATATT